AGTATTTGGCCTTTTAGTCTTGACTCTTAAAGCAATTTTCAAACAGTTTCAGAGTAATGAAGGTGAAAGACTCTGGTTATAACACTAGGGCATTTTAGGCCTCAGAAAGCAGAAATAATCAGTCTCAGCGCTCCCCACCCCCCCACCTTACCTTCTGCCTGCCCTTCTCCTGCCATTAAAACTGAATTTCTCTTTCTCAAAATGGTTCAGAGAAAGTAAAAATATACCTTATTATTGTCCCGCCTTGTTGTCCAGAGCTGCCCATAAAGCAATTCTCTGACAATATCCCCCACTTCAGAAGAGGTCTTGCTCCATACCCAGGAGGAAGGAATGCTAGAGAGCCCAGCAAGAGTCTCTGCAGACCTGCCCCCTCCTCACATGTTCTCATTCAGTCTATCAGCGTTAGATCACACTCATGTCCATGTGGCTATCCATGCTGCAGTCATGCCTATGAGGTGGGGTCTCCATAAAATTCCAAAAAGACAAAGGTTGGAGAGCTATATGGGGCAGCTGAACACAGAGGCTTACAGAAAGCTGAACAAAAACTCATCCACTTGCGGGGAGGGTGGTAAACTAGATGCTCATACATGCTTCACACCTTGCCGTATGTATTTCATCATCAATTTGCTTATCTGCATCCTTTACAATAAACAGCAAATGTAGCCAAGTGTTTCCCTGAGTTCTGTGAGGTACTCTAGCAAATTAATTGAGCATAAAGATGGCTACAGGAAGTCCAATTTGTAGCCGGTCTGACAGAAGTCCCAGAGGCCCAGACTTGTGAGTGGTGTCTTAAGTGGATTTTTTCTCAGGGAACTGACACTATCTTGAGGTAAACAGCATAGGAATTAAACTCAGCTGATTTCTTCACTATGGTGTCTACTGCAGAGCTGCTTGCCTGTTTGCTGGGGGGTGGGGGCAGGGGGGGAGAAATTCCCACACATTTGGGGATCACTAGAAGTCACCTGTGTTGTGAGAGCATAGGAGAAACTGAGTTTCTCTACTCTTGTTAGAACTGTGGTATGTGGAACATCTATTTGTTTCAGCATGTTTTTTTTTCCATCCTTCCTTGCTTATCCCTTCTGCTCCACATATACACTTCACTTCCTTGAATCGCCACTTCAGTCCTTCCTAGGCCTACTTCCCCTATGAGGGTTGGGTCACCACAGCTATAAGAAAAGAGGGATGGTCAATGGAAGAGATCAACTGATGGAGCAAAGGACTTCAGAAAAAATAGGATGGAGTGCACAGGTCAAAGGATTGGCCTTAAATAAAATGGTTTGTATATTCTGAGAAGGGGGAAGGGAGAACACAGAATTCTATGTATAGGAAGGGCAATTTAATAGTATATTAATCATGTATAGTCTCTTTATTTAAATAATTTTATTTGTAGAGATTTATCTTCTTAGGAAATAATGGTAACTAAATAAAAGACTTAACTATAAGATTGTCAATGACAGCATTATGTTTAAAAGTGAAAAACTGAAGGAATCATAAATAATCAACAATCATTAAGTACTAGAAGTTTCAGGTTTAAAATCTATTCAAGAAAAGAAATATTTACATAAGAAGAATAGAGTGATACAAAATACAGAACCTAATGATGTATTTCAAGTTCTCAGAAAGGTAAGAACAATTCAAATCTGAAACCAATAGAGAGAAAAAAATACAAAGATCAGAGTGGAAATTAATGAAATTGAGACTAAAAAAATATAAAGGATCAATGAATCAAAGAGTCGGTTCTTTGAAAGGGTGTGCAGGGGGTCTGGGATGGGGGAGGCGGAGGGCGAGGAGGGGAAGAAGTAAGGAGTGACATGTTGATACATATATGTATTAATTCCCCCAGGATGATTGTTTTAAATTTATGCCAAACAGTGACATGAAGAAAGTAACTATTTCCTCACTGGTATACAACCTGAAATATACACTGACTTTAAATATAAATTGTCTTCTATTTGCATATTTTGTATGTTTAATTTCAGAAGGATAAAACTTCATCTTACAAAGATATTTTAACTTCACATTTTAAAAAGTTCAATTTCCCCAGTAACTCAGCAAAATTAAAACAATCGTGTATCATTTTTCACTTACAAAATTGGCCACATTCTTCATGTTTAGTTGGAGAGTGGGAAGCAGGCGTTTCCACATACTACTGATACAAAATGAATTGGTTTATATCTCTGGAGTGCAATCTGACAGGGCATTTCAAAAGTTCACCCCAGAAATTCCATTTCTAATATTTTAACTTAAGGAAACAATCAAGGTTCTATATAAAAATATGTAATTACAAGGATGTTAACTATAGCAATGCATATGACAATGAATAACTGAATATATCCTAAAACTCCCAACAATAACTGGATAAGCATCCTATACAGACAATGGAATCTATTCATTTTAAGAAATGATGCTGAAGAAAGATAGTTAATGGCACATAAATTATTCATTATATAGTTTAAAGGGAAAAACAACACATGAATATTACATTACATTTTCATTAAAGAAAATATGTATGCTTAGAGAAGGCTGGAAAGCTATCTAACAAAATGTTAAGACTTGAGCATCTGTTTCTTGAAGGTAGAAAATGAGTGACATTTTTTATACTTTTCTGTATTTTCTAATTTTTCTTCAAGGAATATGTATTTCTAAGTAAATTAAAAGCAGTAACTTGGGGAGAAAGAAGAGAGACCAGTGGTTTCTTAAAATTAGGAACCTGAGGGCCAGGGATTTAGCTCAGTGGTTTCACAGCCTGCTGCACAAGCGCAAGGACCCAAGTTCGATCCCTGGTACCAAAAAAAGAAAAAAAAAAATTAGGAACCTGGGGCCAGGGATTTAGCTCAGTGGCTCTGCTGCTTGCCTTGCAAGCACAAGGACCCAAATTCGATCCCTGGTACCTAAATAAATAAATAAATAAAATTAAAATTAGGAACTTAATAGACATGATTTTTAAAAATCATGTCTAATGTGTCTATGAAAGCAATTCAATTTTGAGTCTGTTGGTTATTTATGATAATTAGGATAGTTTAAGTCTTCTAATAAGAAAAACTTCAGGACCAGTAATGCTAACTGACTTATGGACTGGGTTGAACTGGATTTCCCTTTTCATTTTAGTATCTTTTATGTAAGATTGTAGGAATTTTTCAGTATATGAAAGTGAACAGGTTATATGTGTATGTTTGGATTAGTACATTAAAAAAAGTTGTATAAAAATTTTAGACAAAAAGTAACTAAGCAATTAAGGATACAGGATCTAATATTAAATATAGAGAGTACCAGTTGACAAGTTTCCCTTATTGTATCTTTCAAGCATTGTAATGCATTCTATAACCTCCTCCATGTAACAGAATAAAATAAGCATTTAATTTAGCTTTATGTTTTAATTAAGTCATTTCTAAATCCAATAATATCCTTTCTGCCTACAACCTGATGACTTAATTCCTACTTCCAGATAATATCTTACTCTTTAATTTCAGACTTGCATTCTGCCCACTCAACCACAAAGTAGTTGTGTGACTCCAGAGAAGTTATTTAACCTCTAAGTGTTTCAGCTTTCTTATTTGTAAAATAGAGGAAGTGTTGTCTACCTCGATGTTTTGTGAGGAGTAAATAAACAGAAACAAAGCGCTTAGAACAGTGCCTGATATATAATAAACATTCAGAAAATATTATTACTGTTTTGAAGTATTGATTATCTTCACAAAATGTCCTATAATTCAATATATTCCAAACAATGTAATTGTATGCTTGCTCAAAACATCTCCTTGCTATATTTTTGTAGACTTAATGTAATATGAATCATCCCTTTACCCAAGGGATACACTTAAGTTAGAAATCTTGATGTCAAAATACACTATTCCTCCTTCTTCCACACCATTCAAAATATCTTCAAATTCCTACTTTTGAAATATCAATGACTTCTTTTACTAGATAGTGGTTTTCTTCAGACAAAGACCATGCTCCTTCAGAAGTTCCTCAAGGCCCTCGAGTTTTAATAGCTATGTATACCTGACACATAGCAAAATATCTTTCCTATGTTAGGCAATCAATAAATGCATTTTGCATGCATGTGTGGTGTCCCTGTACTACATGCATGTATGCTTTACACACATACACACACACGCATAGTACCTTACCTTTAGCCTGATTATAACTTTAGAAGTACATACAGATTATCGTGCTATTCAGAGGATCAATTTTTAAACTAGACCTAGAAACAGCTACAGCCTCCCTCCCTCCCTCCCTCCTTTCCTTCTTTTCTTTCCTTACTTTTTTCTTTCATTTCTTATGATACTGGGGATTGAATCAGAGGTGCTCTACTACTGAGGCATACTCCCACCACTTTTCATTTTTTATTATGAGTCAGAGTCTCATGAAATTGTGTAGTTTGGCCTCAAACCTATTATCTTCCTACCTCACCCTCCCCAGTACTGTAGTTGGGATTACAGGCATACACCATTGGTCCTGGCTCATTTGATTAACTTTTAATGCTGATGAGACTGGAAAATCCAGAAATCTCACACAATATTAGTAGTAGGATAAATCAGTACATCTCTTTTATAAACATATACTTTTTAAGAGTCACCAAAATTTTCATTAATTTATCCAAAACAATTTAAAAATTATAATAGAAGCTAAAGGAAAATTGATGTGTACGATGATGTTCATTATTCTTTATAATGAAGATAAAATGGAAAATAATTAAACAGTAAGTTATAGTTTTGAAATCTAATGGACCATTTCAGAGCAACTAAAGTTATTACTGTTCTATAATAATTACAGCAATATAAATGTTTTTGTATGTAAAAAATACATTGAGATTGTAATTATGCAAAAAGTATATAGTTATATAAATATTAAAATGCAACTGGAATTTATACTCTAATCATTTCTAAAACAGAAACAAATATTTTATAAAAAGTAGCCTGACCTAGATGATCACTGCACAACAATGAACATTCAATTATGAGTTAAGATTTCACAACATGTTTCAAAGCAGCAAATACCTTTGTGTAAACTTCAAATATGGTGTATAGTCTATTACAGCAGGGAAGCTGCCGTCCAAACCTTCTCCCTTTAGGCAGAAGCTAAGAAGCAGACAATAAACATTCTGTTTCAATACATGAACATGACTTCAACTTTAACTGTTTTATAACAGTTTATACAATTTTTGCTGAACATCATTCATCACATTTCAGGTGAATTTTTTGGTTTGTAATTTGTTATTTGTTCCCCCAAACTCCTCAAAAATATTCTACCTTCAATACCAAAAGCATTGTACATAATAATTTATTAAGAGGCAAAAGTAAAATTTGCTGAGAAATCTGCTCAAACCTTGTCTGATAGTATCTTGGTCTCTACCAGACTTTCAGGATGTCACTAGAGAACTTTGAAAGGATGATTCGTTCTTCACATTTACAAGCAAGTTCTCAGGTGATACTGTACATCCCCTAAAATATCTGATGGATTAGAAAATAAGAGTTGAAAAGACTTAGATCTTAGACCTAGGAAGGATGCTGAAAATCCTGTCATCTCCAGTCAGCCCTTCAGACCCTGGGAACAGGGAAAAGGCCAGTCATGCGGTGAGTCTTGTAGAGCCAGTAAGGAAATCTAGCCCTCAGTTAATTTTTTTTTGGTACCGGGGATCGAACTCGGGTCCTTGCGCTTGCGCAGCAGGCGTTGAAACCACTGAGCTAAATCCCCGGCCCTGCCCTCAGTTAATTTTAAGTGATGGAACACACAAAAAAAGTTCTTTAGTTTTATGATTTCTATTGTTAAAAGAATAAAGAACATTTTCTAGAAATATGTCTGTTATTTAAAATAAAAGGACATCTTATAGGCATACAAATAAGGTATAGGTTGATCTTTCAAAGGAAAAAGGCCATCTATAAACTACCACCTTCTAGCTTGTTTCAGAAGTCTGTTTGCTAAAATATTTGTTCCACTGTATTAGTATTGATACTTTTCCGAACTTGAATAAGGGTCCAATTAAAGTGACAACACTTTATATGGGCTTTCCTTAATTTACAGAAACATTACTAATATTATCTCTAAGATATTTGCTTTCATATGATTACACAGTGTCAATGGGTTACAATAAACCAATAGTTAACATCTTTATCCCAGGTGTTTTGTTTTGTTAACCAAAAACAACAAACAAATAAAACCAAGGCTTTAAAGATTTTAGACAAAGCCATGTAAAAAGTTAACAATCTTACAGGAATAAAAAACAAAAAACCTTTCTACCTATCAAGTTCATTCTAAAAATCAAACAAATTAACTTAATACTAGTTTATTAAATCATAAGCAGAAGAAAGTTATAAAATAACATTTTAAAAACTGATTTACTAGATAAATTCAATGAAAATGGCAGATTTTAAAATTTAAGACCTAAAGTCATTAAAGTCTTATTTTGTTAGTACTGCATTCTTGAATTTTCAAATCTTCTATTTCAATAAAAATATAATCTTTCATTCACTCTTTCAGCTTTCTCATAGATAAACTTTTAAAATTAATTTTATTGGTACATTTTAGGTATACAATACATAGACAAACTTTTAACTTTCTTTTATCTTATTTTTGTGGCATTGGGGATTGAATTCAGCACCTTTCTACTGAGACACCCCACCAGCTCTTTTTTTATTTTGAGACAGGATCTTGCTCAGTCTCTAAATTGCCCAGGCTGGGCTCAAAATTATGATCCTCTTGCCTCAGCCTCCCAGAGTGCTGGGATTACAGGCATGCACCACCATACGTGGTTTAAACCTTTTACCTTTAATATAACATAAAATCTGGTATCAACTAAAGAAATGCAAAAAGATTCTTCTATAAATCTAGAAAGAATTTACAATGCCTATTTTTAGTACTTGTTATCTTAGTCTGAAACCAATTCATCTTGTTGATAATAAAAGCAAATGTTAAGATCCAAAGCCTTCCTTCAGTGCTGGTAGTGTGGTGCCTGGTGGCAATATGAGGCAGATGTAGTCTAAGCTTTCACCTTACACAAGGAAATGAGCAAGTCTGTCAGTTCCTTAAGTTTGAGACCATCACTTTTCTAAGAGAAAAGTCATTTAGAAAACGAATTGATTTGGAAGAGAATAACAAGAATCAAATATTGACATTCAACTGTTTTACTTAGAACACTGAAAAAGAAAAATTATGAGTAGAAACTAGTAGGAGGTAGAAAAATATAAAAACTTACCTCACTTAGTTAAATACTACCTACCTGAAATCAATAGCATTGAGCCCAAGCAGCATGCCAGCTAGCATATTTGCTTCCTCACCCAAGACAATTGCTCCATCATCATAAAATCTCCTAAGAATGAAATAATAATACATTAAATTCAAAACAGAATAAAGTTTGATCTCAAGAAATCATTTACAGCCTGAAATAACACAGAAAGAGTGCAATTTTGATCACTGAGGTCCTGAAGATATTTAGACAAAAAAAAAGTCAAACCTGACATGATAACAAAAAGCATTCTCCTCACGTATTTTCATCTCTATTGAAAACAGTCCCTAAAATGACTCTTCTAATGGGTCTAGGGTGCCCAGAATTTTTTCCTAGTAGTAAAGCAATATGAATGTAAAGTGAAAAGTAGCAAATTTAGTCACTTACGCTGGTCTGTCTCCCAAACTATGTCGACCATAATCTTATACTTACCAGTATGTGGCAGTTATGTTGGAGTTTCAGTCCTGCTTTTGTCCAATTCTTTTCTATTCCTCTAGTCCTTTCCTTTGGTTTTTGTTTTTTTTTTGTACCGAGGACTGAACTCAAGACCTTGCCTTGAGAAGGAGGCGGCGGAACCACTGAGCTAAATCCCTGGCCCCTATTCCTTTCTTTTGGAATGGTAATATTTGCCCTGTGCCATTGGATCTTAAGGTTATATAACTTGTTTTTTATTTTTACAGAGATTCACAGCTAAGAGTTTGTCTTGAGTCTTAGAAAAGACTCGGACTTTTGAAAAATGCTAGAACTGTTGAGACTTTAAGAGGTAGTTGCATTTCCAATGGTATGCAAGATACTGTATTATCTTAGGCAGTGTCTCTCAGTCACTTCCCTGTTGCTGCACAGAATATGTGACAACCACAACTTAAAGGAGGAGAGGTTTATTTTGGCTCCCTGGTTCAGTCCATGGTCAGCTGGCTCAAAATGGAAAGAGGATGGCGGGGGCACGATGAAGGAAAAGCTCACACATTATGGTGGCCAGAAAGCAAAGAATGAAGGGAAGAGTCTTTCAGGTTATGCTTCCAGTGACCTCCTTTTCTGACCAGTCACCACCTCTGAACAGGACTAGTTCAGCTATGAACTTATAAGCAGACTACTCACGCATGAGTACAACACCCCCATGATCAATCACCTTTCAGAAGCCCACCTCTGAATACATGGATGGGGCTTTTGAGGGACACTCTAGATCTAAACCACAACAGACGCAAGTATGAATTTGCTGTTGTGTTTATTTGGGGATTAAGTATGGTATAAAGAGATATGTTTTGGTAGCAAGTTGCAAAGGGGGGTGGTTGCAGTTAGGGTGGGGTTCAATTTGATTGGAAATTGGTGGAACACACTTCTAGGTATGTCTGGGTGGGACATGGAGGCATGGCCTTGGTCTGGTCCTTACCCACTTCTTCTCTAGTACACTTCCTCTGCTCTGCTTCTAGGTTGCCATGAACTTAAAAACCAGTTTTGCTCCAAGATGTGCTTCCTTCCTCCATGATGTTTCTGCGTTGGAGCCAGCCAATCATGGACTGAAACCATGAGCAAATTAATTCTCTCCTTTTCAATTTGTGGGTGTTGGGTATTGTACCTTAATGACAAGAAAACTGGCTAATACAACTTATAACAAAATAATTTATTTTCCTGTAATTTTAAGGATTACTGATTTAAATTAAGAAGTTGGAAGGTGTGATCACTACTAATACAGTATATGCTAATTTTAATACTGCAATACTAATAGAGGGGCTACCAAGGTGGCTGCATACGAGAAAGAAACTACTCATTATCTCTTTGACAAAAATGTGAATATCGATCTGTCTTTAGTAACTCATGTAAAACTTTGTTTTGGTTAATATTCATTTTTAAAATTCTTTTCAGAAAATAATCATAATAGGGTCTAAGGTATTTTTCACAAAAACACTGTAATATGTAAAAACTAGTTTATGTTTAATAACCAGAGAGTGTTGCATTTTTGTATCTATTTATTTTACATACAGTGAATACCACTCCACTAAAACATAACATCATTTAGTAAATAAAATGTCTTGCTCTTTTCAGTATTCATAAACTTATAAAGGCTGCAAAAAGGTTTAAACATGCTCATAATCTCACCATTAATTCTGAACAGTTGTTCACAGCTTACCAATTTCATAAAAACATCATTTCATAGTTGAGGAAAAAAATGAAGTAACTAAGAAGTAATCCTTAGTTTCAAATTTACCATCAAGACAAAGGTTAAAACACTTTTCTGAAGCTCATATATATGAACTATCCAAAGAGGCAACCCAACTCTTATTTTAAATTCTATATATTTTTTATTAAACCATACTGCTTCTTGTAAAGCCAAAACATTTAAAGAGAATTCAACCTATGGCTCATAAAGAATTTTAAATGAATAAAAAGTATGATGATGAAAATAAGAGGCAGCTATTTACCTTCTGACAGATGTAAGGCTGCAAGCAAATATGGTAGGGGGCTAGCCTGGAATATATACTGCACTCAGAGTTGCTTTTACTAATTCATATAAAAAGAGAAAAACTAAAATCTCCAGCCTAACAAAGACTACTGAAATAAGTAAGATCTTTTATATATTCATTTGAAGTATTCCACGAATAGTTACTTAGGTAAATACACGTACCTGAGATTTTTGTCCTCACCCCAATGACTAAATTGCCTGTTAGCAGAATACATTACTGAATCCTGCAAGAACTATGTTTCCAGCGATTCTAGACCATCACATTTTGTGGGACATATTCTTTTTTTTTTTTTTTTTT